CCCCCCACTCCCCACTCACCCTACCCCTTTCCACATCTACAGTGTTATATATCTATCACCACTCTACGCTCTTCACTCTCTCACCCCGCACCCCCACCCACCCCTCTGGAACCACACAGACGAGCTACATTGATTGTATGACCGATCGGAGAAGGTAGAAACCCTAGCTCTGCAATCGAGGCACCGCCGTTCAACGGTGTTGCAGGCAGCTCATGAGCTGTGAATAATGCATAGTAAGCTCAGCTCAGACCTATACATACATGTTTGATATGTACTTGTTATGTGTACATATCAATATGGATATTGTATTTGTAGATTAGCTGCAATGTATCATAGCCGTGTAGTTTTTCTAGATGAATAAGGGATTTATTTTGAAAATTTGAAAAAATTTAGCTCTATTTTGAGTAGTCCTTGAGGATTTGCCTATGGATCTGTGAGCTTAGAGTTTTTCTTCCATTTTTCCTTAATATCTGGAGTCCTGATTTGTTTAATTTTTGTTGTTGTTGTTGTTGCTGGTTGTATTTATTTTATTTTTTGAATTTTTTTTATGGTTCATTGTTGTTGGATTTTGAGGTATTTGATTTTCATTTTCTGGTTACTTATGAAAATATTGATTTGGATTATTTATTTTCAATTTCTATTTTTGTTCTTAGTTGTTTTTACTTTTTAAAATTTTATAGTACATTTTGGTTGAATTTTGAGGTCTGAAAGCTGTTTTTTAATTATTATTTTTCTAGTTTCTTTTGAGAAATGAAATTGTTTGGATTTGTTAATTGCCATTTTCTATTTCTTATACTTAGTTGTGATTAAGCAAATTAAATTTTGATGTGTTTTGGTTGATTCTTTGAGTCTTAACGCTATTTAGTTTTACTTTTCCAGGTTGGTTTTGAAAAAAATAATTTGAATTAATACTTTTGCTTTGCTTGTGGAATTAGAAGTTAGGAGGAAATTGATTTTACAATGGACTTGAATTTCCATTTGAAGAACAATTGATGGATCTATCATGCTATTCTCAGAAATTTTAGTGTAGTTTTTTATTTTTAAGTTATTTTTTTGTGGATTTGTAGAAGATCTTCAGTTAGATCAAACTGAGAGATTTTTAAGAATTCCTACAATTTTTCAGTTACATTCAAAAGGTAATTAAATTGCATAACATTGACCGAGATGACTGGTATCTTTTGATTTATTTGTTTATGGATTAAAGTTCTTTAAATCTTCTATTATATACTGTATCTACCTTTGAATAGATTGGTACTAGCTTTGAAATTGAATTGTATACATGACTTAATTTCCAGCAACAATGTATGAGTAGATGCTTTCTGTTTTGCATTTGTAGAACTCTCCATGCAAATGGTATGTGCTATCTTTCCCTTTTACACCTTAAAGCTTAAGTAAGTAAATTCAATGAATGTTTGATGCAGGCTCGTCCCTGATTCAAGAGTACAGTGACAGATGCTCCTTATTTATATAAAGCTCTAGAATTGTGGTGGAACACAATGCAGGTGAATATCACTCTTTAAAATATAGACTTATGTCCTACATATGATGTCATTTTTTTGGGATAATACAAGCCAGTTAAGAACACATGACAAACTCACACCACAAGACGGGAACACAAAAATCATATGGTCTTGGCAGTTTGTTGTGGTATAGAGCCTTAGATAAGATCTCATCAAATGTTAGATGTGAACAAAAATATATTTTTGTTATCAAATTTGTAACACTTTTTATCATTGCTTCTCTCCACACAATTTCTTTCTGCTTTGAATTAGAATATATGATTGTATCCATGTTTGTTTATTGACCCTTGGTTGATCAAATAAGACAAAACAGTCTCTTGTGCCTGCTGCATTTGAAGATACAGATTTGTGTTTCAGCTCATTCACGTGCTTGAAACTCTTTATTTTTAGTCTACTTCAGTAGATTGCTAGTGGATGCTGGTGGTTCTCTGATATTTAAGACCCTCTTTCATGGAAGAGTTTGAAATGTATAAAGATAATCTCTATGAAAAAAGTGTGTCCTTGTCTGCTAGGTAGTCATGGGAAAATTTACAAAAGAAATTAACAAAGACAGCACAATGAGAAAATATAATGACCACAACTGAGGAAAAGAAAAACTAAGTGTGATCGACTTTTTCAATTGTAGTTTATTACATTATTCTGTTCTTTGGTATGATTGACTTTCATAATATAAGTTAACATAAACTCCTAAACTTCCAACTTGTTCTTTACTTCTTCTCTTTGCTATTTCAGTTTATTCATAAGTGAATGTTATAATTGAAATAATATTATGAATTAAAGGTCGCATCAATAGTGTTGGTTATGCTAACTTTCTGTTTGTAGAAGTTACTTTCTGCTTAGATATTAGTAGCTCAAACTAGCATAACTTGCGTATATTTAACTTACTAAGAAGGCTCCAAGTTCAAGTTACTATACCAGTTAATAATAGTTGCTTGATTTTTGACAAAAATCTTCTTAAATCTCATTAGTTCACATGATGGCATGTCATAGACCGATCAGGCACTGGTTATCTTCTTACCCTGGTACCTGGACACATTTATTTGCCAAAACTTTAATGTTCTGAGCTTTCTGGGGAATAATGTCGTCAAGGCCCTAAAGCTTTGTCCATGTAATTCTTGTTTTTTTTTAATAACTTTATTTTCTTGTATTGCATATAGATCCTTTATTTTTTTTCGTCATCAGGCCCTTTACTATAACATTTTTTGGATGTGTGTTGTGCTTAAAGCCCAAGACCTTTGAATCTTTCTTTGCCTTTGACAACACTGCTGAAGAATGATGTTTGTGCTGTTTCATCAAGTTCTTGGATCCTGCATATTGAGACTTATTTTAAAGTTCCCCGCTCTTTGGTCCATGTTAAGCATCTGTTTTTCCGGAGTCTTTTCTTAAAAAAACTTTTTTTTGGGGGTCATTCTTTCCTTTGACTATGAAAAGTTAACAATGATGCAATGTTGTCTCTGCAGTTGTAGCTCTCACAATTGGCATATCACCACCTGGATCAATGAGGAATGCAACTATGGCAACTGGATCGTCTAATCTTAAAGTGCCTACTATGCGAATCACAAGAGCACGGGCAAAAACCTTGGGTTCATCAGGAGGACTACCACCTCTACACCCATCTGTCAGACAGGATAAGAAACAGGGACTTGTAACACAAGGAACAAAATCCAAAAGACCAGCCCCAGATGAGAACAAACCAGCTAATTCTTCTAGTACTGCTTCTCAACAACCTAAGCGAAGGGCTGTTCTCAGGGATGTCACTAATGTGCTTTGTGAAAATCCATACATGAATTGCATAAATGGAAGCAAATTTCAGGTGAGCTTCAATAGATGTGTTACATCATATTTGCTCTTTGGAAATGAAATCATTCTGCTGAACATAATTATTGGTTATTGAACTAATGTCTTTGTTTCAAAAGATGGAGATTCAGTGCTGAATCTTTTTCTTTGTTTCAAAAACTTATCAACTTCTGGCCGATGATGTCAACTCGTCTTATGGTGATAGGTTAAGAAATTCTCTGATAAGAGGAATTCAAAGGTGACACCTGCTATTTTGGTGAAAAAGCCTGAGCTTGAAGATAGAAAAGAGAGTATGATTGAAGAAGCAAGAAAAGTAAAGGTCGAGGAATCACAAGAACACTGTTCACAAGCACACTTCAAGGACCACCCATTAACTCAGCCAAGTGAATATATCACCGCTGCTCAGAGTGGTTTAGCTGATCTTATGCCTGTGAATAGGAGTTCATGTTATGGCATTACCCTCCAGAATACAACACCAAAAGGTATGATATTGTGTGCTATTATGCAAGATTTGAAAGCCTTGGAATTTGTTGATTTCATTCCCTCTCTTTAAACATAGTTTGAAGTGCAACTACCATGACTGAGCTATGTCTGCTCCTTTAAGTTTCAAAAAATCTGCCTGCTCATCGGGAGGGACCAACAACTAAGATACTTGATAATCGTAACTTTTCTGAAAACTTTATGTTTCTTAAAAGTGCTGTGCACGATGAAACTGTGAACTAGTTTATATTTATATTCAACGTTTTTGAATTTGATCCTTTTATGAAATGCTCTATTGGAACCACATATAATTCTTTGAGAGTGCGACAAGCATGTGTGTCCTTTACTGGCATATAGTTTTAGTTAAAACTTCAAAGTGCAAAGCTGCTTATACCCCTTTGTCCAACTCAGATATATCATTATTACAATAGGCATCCATTTGAATTCGATGTTATAATTCCGAGCGCGATCTCTAGAATAGCTATTTATAATTCCTTGCGGTTATTAAAGTTCTCTACTATATATGCAGCAAGAAGAAAGTTTATAAAGACTTCATTCACTGCATTTTGCTCATTTTTTTCTTTTTGCATTCTAGTAAATCTCAATTCAGTAAACTGTTTGAAGAAAAGCTGTGTAAAATTTCCATTTTTCATAAAACCTCAAAAGAGAGCTCTTGCACTTGAATGTGAAGTAGCTGACTTGTAGCACCATCAGAAGAAATGGTAACCCTCGAATAACTGGAAGTAAAGAGACAATGTAATACATGCAACAGAAAGAGTGAAGAAACCAATTGAGTGCATAGTTCCTCATGGGTGATATGTCTTTGTGGTTCTATGGAGATAGTTATTTTATGTCTCCAATACAAAGGGCGTTTTGTGTCATTTTGCAAATGGATGGACTGCAAAACCTTTTCCAAAAAAGGTAAAAAGCCAAAACTGTTGGTAGGAGGAAAACTTATTAATCTGTTTGATCTTCTGGCATTGCCTGCAAAATTTAATAATCATCTTAACATTGCATGAAAGGTTACTAGTCTTGAAAGGAAATCTTCCTATTGATATGTTCTTTTCTAGAAGGAGCTTATTTGTTTCTGTTCCATCATGCAGATGAAAGCAAGGTTTGCTTGAAACAGGAAGGCTCCAATTCGCTTGGTATTGCAGATATAGATTCAAAACACAAGGATCCACTAATGTGTAGTCTGTATGCTCCTGATATATATAACAATTTGCACGCCATGGAGGTTAGTATGACTGGTGCATTCCTGTTACTACTTCAAAAATTACTGATGCACTGTTGATAAGTCTAGTGATAGCACTAGGCATCTGTAACCATCTAAACAATATCAAGCTTAATGCTTCCTTTAGTTATTAATTAAACAAATATTATCATGGATAATTGCAATGAAATAGTTTAAATACTTCTGAACAAGTTTAAGAGTGCCCTTCCTTTTCTTTGTTAACCTAAGACTTTATGTTTCTCAATTACTAAATGACAAATTCGTCTCACCAACAGCTTGACCGGCGGCCTGCCTTTAATTATATGGAAAAGCTTCAGCGGGACATTAACAAGGGTATGCGAAGTATTCTTATTGATTGGCTTGTGGAGGTCAGTTTGCTTACTTGGATGTTTTAACGCTGGTTAATAATATGTGAGATATTATCTTAAAGAGTATGTTGTGGATCTTAATAAACAAAATCTTTTCACATATAGACCTAAGTTGTGATAGTAGAAAACCTTTTTGTTGATTACCTTTACTTTGATCTTTGGATGAACAGTTCCTTTTTTTGAATGCATCACCAACTGAAATTTTTGCTTCATATTCAAGCATTATTGTCTTGTTTAATTTTTATGGTTACCCTTCCTGGAAGATCACATATGTGTTTTCCCTTAAAGCATTTCATCGAATGTTAGTTCTGATAGGAATTTTCATATTTAGTCTACAATCATGATTTCTGTCTAAATGACCAAATGACCATTTAGCCTATACATCTCTCCTTTGTCATTTTGGAATATCATAAGCAGATATTATGATACATTCATATTTCTCTATTAAGAAAATAAGTCTGTTTACTATGATGTAAGGTGCAATACTTTAATGGTGTTTTTCTCTTTATAAGTGCTCTTACCTAGCTATTGCTAATATACCTATTACTATTCAGTATTTTATCCTGGGTAAAATAATTCTTAAGTTCCCTCATAAGTTATGCATGTATTATTTATGCAAGATATGAAAATGGAAATGAAACATTGTATCAGTAGTCGGAGATTTATTGCTTGAATTATTTTTGTTTTACTGGAAATCAAAAGAGCCCTTACATTTCCGCCATTGATTATGCATATTGATAATAGCACAGGCTTATGGAATTCAGACTTACTTTTGAATAAGCTCTTTTCATGCTTATCATGTATTGGATATGCTTATCTTGCATGACGGTGAAAATTGTATCCGCTGACCATCATTTTGTTCACTCTCTTGCAGGTTTCTGAAGAATATAGGCTGGTTCCAGACACTCTTTACCTGACTGTACATCTTATTGATAGGTTCCTCTCTGAGCATTACATTGAAAAACAAAAACTTCAGCTGCTTGGAGTTACTTGCATGCTAATTGCTTCGTAAGTAAATCATTTTTGGATATTCATACTCAAGAATGTCAGGTTATAGGGTAGACTAAACAGTTTTTACATTTATAAACTTGTAGATCACAAAGATTTCCCTTTTTTACTGTGGGAGCTTGTGGGAAATAGAGCCATTTAACTTACATTCCCCTTTTTTTAAACTTGTATGTGCATGTGCTATATTCTACACGGTAATATACTTTACCCAATTTTTAGAATTATTTATAGCTTCAGTAAAGAGAAACTATTTGTACTTTCATCTGCATCTTTTCATTGGTTTATTCTGCAGTATGTGATATTTTATTTACTTTTGTGCTTGCAGCAAATATGAAGAAATTTGTGCACCTCGTGTGGAAGAATTTTGCTTTATTACAGACAACACTTACTCGAAAGAAGAGGTATGCTCATTCCAATGCTGATCTAGTCGTACATTTCATTTATGTGGAGAAAGAGGTACTTGGAGATATGCTATGTAATACAGAGCAGTTAAGTAACTTTAGTTTCAGTTAGTGTAAGAAGCATGTATGAGTTGCTTTAGATTCTTTAAATTCATTTCTCCTGGTTGTATTTGTCGTTGGTACCCATCCTTGATGTTTGGTCACTTAATATTGAACTCCAGTGTTATGTGATACTCTCTAGATGTCTAGTACTGGGCATTTAAGGAGTGTTAGAAGCCCACAGTGGTTGAGAAGTACAGGTTGTAGCTCTTATATGGTTTTCAACCATCCTCAATTCATTAGCTAGCTTTGAGGGTTAAGCCCAAGGTCTGTTATAACATTTTGTACCTTTATGCATCCAACTAGTCTTTCAGAATTTGTCCTTGTAAATTGATAACTGTATAAGATCCACTCCTTGCATTCCTCTGCTTGTTCTTTTGACTGTCATTCTAGCAAAGTCAGTCATGGTAGTAGCATTTTTTTCTTTTGCTGGTCCTAACTACTTTCCTTTACCCCCTTGTGCTTATCTTCTTAAAGGCGAAGATCTAGATTGCCTCATCTAGCTCCGAGCTTTCCTTTCTCTTTTATAATATCTTGGATGCATACTTTGTTCCTACTTGAGTAATGATCTGAACATTTCCCAAATGTTTTCCTATGTCTTCTTTAATACGACTTAAAGCTCCCTGTGGATGTGAAAAGTTTAATTACTGATTCCATGTCTATTGTCAGGTAGTAAGAATGGAAAGTCTAGTTCTGAATTTTTTGGGCTTTCAACTTACTGCTCCGACCACCAAAAAGTTCCTGAGGTACCTGTAATTAGCAATATATGCAAGTTAAATCATGTTACTTGTGAGAGTAGGCTCCTTACTTGTGCCATTGTCCTTTGTTTTTAGGAGATTCGTTCAAGCATCACAAGCTTCTTATGAGGTAGGATGAGATAGCAATCTTCTTTTTGTTTGAGTCCTAGAAAATGAAGGTTATATGACAAAGTAAATTTCTTCAACCTGCAGGTTCCCTCTGTTGAACTGGAATTCATGGCAAACTATTTAGCAGAGTTGACACTAGCTGAATATAGTTTTCTTAAGTTTCTTCCATCTGTTACTGCTGCGTCAGCTGTATTTCTAGCCAGATGGACACTTGATCAATCTAACCACCCATGGGTATGCAACAGTTTTGCACCTTGATCCTGTCATCTTTTTTGCAATTGAATGCAACCACAAAATAACTCTGGAAATCTCTTGCAGAATCCAACTTTGGAGCACTACACTACATATAAGGCGTTAGATCTGAAAACTACAGTTCTTTTGCTGCAAGATTTACAGATGAACACCAGTGGAAGCACTCTGAATGCCATCCGTGAAAAGTATAAACAACCAAAGGTAAGAAACTTTATCACAACCGTTCTCTTTTGCGTGCATCCACATGGATCAGCTGTTTATCATTGTACTGAAGCTTTCATTTGAATTGACAGTTCAAGTCCGTGGCAACTTTATCGTCTCCAAAACCAGTCCAATCACTGTTCTAGGAAATGCTGATCTTAAGTCCGGTTGGCCAATTCATGTTTGGCAGATCCATTGTCACTTTTTCAAGTGAAGGAACATTAATCTTTAACATACAATAATCCATCCTTCCTGGAAAGAGACGACACATTCTTTTCAACCCTCTTTCAAATTTTAACCACATCTATCATCCTACCATGTTCCAGCAGATGATACAGAAACATGTAGATTTCGATGAAGCGGATGCACTAAGTTAAAAGAAATGGTAATATGTAAGTAACTTCACAGCACCTGGTTAGCTTCTTGCTATCGTGTATATGGAGCTGTTTGAGAGCTCCTGTTGTTAAATGGTTCCAACTTTGACGTTTCTATTCATTAAGCTTAATAAATCCTTTTCCATCCTGGACTAGATACAAGTCGTTTAATTCTACCAAGCTTACATAACTTTGGTTCCATGCTTTCTCATTTAAGTTCTATATTTGTTAAGGTAGCCGTTCGGTACTTAAATTGTGTTTGCAGGTGGATAAAAAATTTAATTACACCCGATGTTTACACAAAATCTTACTTATTATGGTTTAAGTCATAAACTAAGGTGAAAACTTACATTAATTAACTGTATGATTAATGTAAATACTGAGGGATGTTTGCTCTGCAGACAGTTATGCAGACATCACCAAATTTATTGCGTCCTGAACTTAGGCCTAAGCGAATCGATACTTTGTGATTGCATTTAAAAGCGGAATAGTAGACAGGACTTACATAACGCAACTTTCAATCATGAAGTGAAAACAGGAAAATACGGATAATTTAAAGCCTTCTTTTCATAAATTAGCATAAGAAAATCATTTTTTAACTATATAGATGTGAATCCATATTAAAGACAACATGAGTTTATTTTAAAACATAAACATGACTTAAATACTCTAATACATGACATTGCAATAGAAATATCGGCAAGGCCTCAACGTTACCAAAGAATCTAATACAACAAAGACATAAACTCGAATAAAAAGTGGGCCTCACCAACTCGAATTGAATACAAACCAATATGCCTATCAAAAAAGTTTGGTCTCTTGAACATCTGAACTTGCATCGTAAGATTCATCGCTCGATTCATCGCTCCAGTAAAAAGGACGTAAATATTATTGAATATCACTATGATTAGATATGAACAATACAATTGAAAAAAATGTAGGCATATAGAAGGAATGGACATACGATGACCTGATAAGATCATTATCAACTTACTAGTATGAAAACATCCACTTGGCTTGATGCAAGATGTTGAGGAGCAAAAATGGGAAAGTAGCATCTTATCGCCAAATTAATGGCCCAAATCCCAATGATATTTGTTACTACTATTTCCTGTCTAAAAATAAATGTCATCCTAGTAAAAATCACCTTCTTTAAGAAATCAATAAATATAATATGTAGTTTACTTAACTACTATCCTTATTTAATAAATGTCTCTTAAAAATTTAACACTATTAAATAGAGTATTAAGGATATACCATAGTCGATAAAATATATCTGACTTATTTTTATCTTAACTTCCTGAGTTGACATTTATTTTGGGACAATTTTTTTCTTGTAACGTGACACTTTTTTTTTTGATACATAAGGAGCAGGTAGTTACTAGTATTGATTATTTCACATTGGTCCTCCAAAGTTCAAACTATTACTACCTTTCTCCTTTAAATTATTAGTCAACAATTCAATTATACTTGTACTGTAATATATTGTGCTCACACGAATAAGATGTGTGGGGAAAAAAAACATTAATTTCTGTTTTTTAGTAGAGAAATAGTAGTACTACTTTTTTCTATTTATCGTAGTTGTTGAATGTGGTCGTACTCTTCTATGGTAGTGTTAAAAGTTCAAATGTTTAGCTGTAAAGCACCCCTTTCCAGCACATAATAATAATACTACAAACAGTACAAACAGGTGCCAAATAAATTTTGACTTTGAAGAATCATAAAAGTCTCTTAACCCACGGGCTGTGGGGTGGTTAGCGATTCACGTGAATCCAATAATTTTTGCTAACTCAATGTAGCAGGAGGTTATGGGTTCAAGTTTTGAAAATAATCTCTTTGCAGAAATGCAAGATAAGGCAGCATATTGTGGTCATTAAACCTTGCACATGGCAAGAGCTTTATTACACCGAGCTGCCCTTTTTCTTTTCTTTTTTGTCTGTTGGTCAGACTGTGGAACTCATTAACTAAAATTCTAAATTTGCCTAGCACATTCCTAAGTCATAACTTTTAAGTTAGTGAGCGCAGAAATTTCACTATAATAAACCATTTTTAATAGATGGGGAACTTATAGTATAAATATCTGTTTGAGGGCAAAATAATTAGAAGCTTCATAAATATAGTACAAAACTACAAATTAGTCAATGTTTTTGGTACTAACAAAAACAAGAAATGGTGTCAAACAGATTGCCTGAAACCTCTCTATTTTCTTTTCTTCTTTTCCACTTTCATCCAAATAGCAAAGCTGAACACTAAAGAAGCCAGGCAAAAAGGTGATGAAAATATTAGCCATTTAGATAAACATATAAGGCCATGACAAAATGTTCATAATAAAAGAAACAAATGTTAGTTTAGCCCCCCATTCGCGCTCCTCAACACAGGTGTAGGACTAAGTTACAACAGAGATAAGGCTGTTAATCGGGTTGATCTTCAAAAACCTGCTCCAGACAACAGCCATTTTCCATCCATGACGCCATTCTAGTTTTTTCTCCATGACTCCTAAATTGCGTGGAACATACACAGCAAAACACGGGGACAAGGATAGAGTGGAGTCATCACCTCTTAGCAAGTGATTGAAGTTGCTAAAGGCATTACCAGGACAGCAATGTTTCCAGCTACAGGTGGACGTAGACTAGCTGCAGTCTCCAGCTGTTCCCATGCTTCCTTCCGTTTCTCAGATTCCAAGTTTATTTTTTCCTGTTCTTCCTTGTAATGCGAATGGCAAGCAAGGAAAAGCACATCATCCATTTCGGAGAACATCCTTCTTACGTTTAGACTCAAGTTCTGCACAGCATGATTCCAGTGGTTCTGAGCATTGCTTTCCACAGCTGGGAATATAATCGGGAGAATCACATGCCGGTTATGTGCAATCAAATTGACAATTTGGTCATTATTCCAAAGGAACAGAGCCCTTTCAGCAACCTGGACAATAAAAGTTTGACTATTAGGATGACAAATAAGTGACTTTGAAGTTCCGAAAGTGGTATAGTAGAAACATTTTAGCAAAGGCAATTTTCAGAGACACACAGAGGATTGGGGAGGGGGGGGTAGCGGAGGAAATTGGAACAAATTAACATCATGGTTTTTAAGCATCACAACATGGAATAACTGATAACAGACTAATGCAGCATCAAAGAGATCATCACGTATGGCAACCTTTCTACCAGAAAAGGCCTGAAGTTCATATCTCTCACTCTCCACCAGGAAAAAAGGGGGAAAGGGGGGTTGAGAGAAAACTCGGAAAGAAAAAGAGAAGGAGGGGGTTTCAGAAACTAACCAACAATGAACTAAATTTGTTTTTTGACCATTTTGCCATATACTCATTCTTCTCTATCTCTCTTCCCCATCCACAAACCACTTTTCAAGTAGAAGCCTCCAGTATTTAGATGGATACACAATTCATAAGCATAGTCCTCACTCTTGGTTAGAAGATCATACTTAGTCGCAAAAACATACTATATGCCTTGGAAGTGAGATGCTATAGTTTTTGGCAAATTGTGTCCCTGAACCCAACAATTTCCAGCCTCAACAATAAAAGATAAATGGAGAAGAACCATAAAAAGGAAAAGTAGAGTGTAAGAGATGAGTAAAAGCGAAAGACAAACATCCTTTGGGTCCCATGCAGGAGGGCTTCTTGGAAAGTACATGGAGGAAGAGAAATCCACAGAACTATAAGGAAGGAAAGATTATTACATCATAACAAAAGGTTGGGTACCACTCTCAATATACACCATAACATATGGCATGACCGCGATGTAGTTAAACCCATGTGACGCCATATAATGATTGTTATCCAAGTATCTACTGGAAAGACTTAGTTAAGTAGAAATTTACACATGTTTAGATGTGTTGAGCACGTGCAGGTTTAAAGATATCATATTATAACCACCACCACCAACTCATCAGAATATGGTGGTGGCGTTCATCGAAGTGCAATGACTGATTGATGTCAGAAGGCCCAGGATGCTTGGTTTTATTCAAGTTAACTCTGTCAAAGATCCAATTACTTCCTCAGTTTCTCTCAGTCTCTGAAACTCCAATTTTTAAGTCTAAGAATGGACAAAGATACTTAAATCAATGACTGAATAATGCAGATTAAGCAATATATCTCATTCTTCTTATTGACAGGTTTTCTGATGAAATTTATTAACTTGATCCCAGAAATGCCCTCGGAAACAGTAATAGATCTTCTGTTTCAGCACTCTTCTATCTAGTGTCATCCCTTGAAACCACTTGTTTACCCAGTTCATTAACAAGGCTGTTGTTTCGTATAAGACAATAAAAATCCTGAACATTCTCTTGGGGCACAAGTCTTTCTGGCTCCATAATCTTAAATTCTCGACTCATTGCTGAAACCATTTCAAACTAAATGAAAAACTCCTGTCAGCAATCTAGAAATCTAATTCTAGGCAACTGAGCTGGTAGTAAATTTGAAGCTTTTTATGTAAAAATTCCTCACAGCTAAAAATGCATGTAAATCTGGAAGGATCCTGATTCTTTACAAGTCAAACAACAGGATGAAGAATACATCATTCAATCAATTGCATTTCCATCCCACATTAGCCTGAATCCTCTGTATCAATTAGAAGGAGAAATCTTATCACAATATTAGTTCATAGATCCTTGAGCAAACCATATCTAACCAACAACTCAGAAACTACGCAACAAATAAAAATTTAAAGTACACATGCACACACATATATACATGTCTAGAGACATAATTATTAGTACCTGAAAATGGTAACTATTGATGCAGCAACCGATCCGCCAGAACAAGGGAACCATCACTTTTTGGAACTCAGCCATGTTAATAACTTCCAAAATTTCTTCCAGCTCACTCAAAAACATCACCTCCTTTTGGGTACTTGTGATAGGCCAGTACTTCAACAAACCCCTAATCACAGTGCTAGCCAATTTGGGATCTTTCTCTATGAACTGGTTAATGCAATATGATAACTGTTGAAAGTAAATCCCCAAGGATTTTGGCTTGTGCAAAGGAATCAAGGTCCTTGACAAAAAGATCTTATGCTCCTCTTTCAATGGCAGAGCAAACCCTGTCACCACACTTCCGAAAATCTCCAAAAGTTCAGCAATCCCATTATGTTTCTCAGACTCAAACACAACGCGGTAAAACATATTGCTTATACTCTTCCTTATGTAAGGTCTATGAACCA